TGAATCAATCACAACTAACTTTAGCTGGAAATAACATTACTCAAAAATCGCTATAAAGCCAAAACAATCTCTGTTACCGTAAATTGTATGTTTATCTCTGTAAAGCTGCTTTGAAACAATCTCCATTGTTAAAAGCGCTATATAAATGAAGATGACTTGACTTGGATTTACTCAACCGCCATGACAGTCGACACAAGCGGAGTGATACAAACGGTGAAACAGTCAGAGTGATGTTACTGTGTGAATATAGCAAGGCTGGAAAAGGCTCTCAGCCAATCAGATTCGAGAACCAGAAAGAACTGTTGTATAAATACCCTAATGGCCTCTCCATTACACTGTGCCTCTTTAACAAAACAAAATGCTCCGAACAAACATATAATCCTTGTCGACAGACTGTGGAGTACGTCAGAAACTGAACATGCATCTGTATACTGTATCCAGTGTAGACAGCATCAATGGTTATAATGAGTTCTATTTGCTTTAGACGTGACACTCGCATCCAGTGTAGGCATGTGTCAGCCATTAAGCAACTGAATGCCAGTGGGTGGGGCCAGGGCCGGTTCTAGACATTTGGAGGCCCTAGGCAATATTCATGTTGGAGGCCCCCCACCCCCAATAAAAAACTCTTGAAACAAATATGATTCCTAACCTTTTAATTTATACAACATTTAATTTTAGATGTTGTATATTTTTACTTACACAGTACATAAGATTGGACACATTACCATTTTTAATGTTTTTGAAAGAAGTCTCTTATGCTCATCAAGCCTGGATTTATTTGATCAAAAATACAGAAAAATATATAGTGAAATATTATTACAATTTAAAATAATGGTTTTCCTATTTTACTATACTTTAAAATATATTTCTGTGATGCAAAGCTGAATTTAGTGTCACGTGATCCTTCAGAAAACTTTATAATATTCTGATTTATTATCAAATGTTAGCAATGGTGCTTAATATTTATTTTATAACCTGTGATACTTTTTTTCAGGATTTTTTGATTATTAAAAACTTGTTTGAAAAAAGTCTTCACTATCACTTTTTATATATTTAACACATCCTTGAAGAATTTTTTTTTTTTTATTCAAATAAATGCAGGCTTGTAGAGCATAATAAGAAACTTCTTTCAAAAACATTCAAAATAGTAATTGGTCCAGACTTTTTACCAGTAGGCTACTGTATGTAGGCCTACATATTAATCAAACTTTAATCTCTTTTTTGTTTAATGAAGATGTTATTGTTATTTTGCTGTTTTATTCAATTTATTCACAGTTCCAGAATACCACTTCAGGAGATGAACATAGCCTAAGTGCTTTTATCATTTTTTTCATAGCTGCGGTATTGGCAGGGTTTTTCCCTCCCATTTAATCAATATTGACTGTAGATATTGTCATATTATTAATATAAGTAATATGATATTATGCATTGCATTGTTAGCTTATGCTATACACAATTCAAGAGAAAGACACGGTCGCTACTGATTAGAAAAAAAATTCTAAACTGATATTATTGGCGATATTATTGGCGTAACTAAGTAGATGATGTCAGGGTAGGCTATAATCTAATCATCAGCAGAATTTAGAAGATAGACCCGAGATCCTTTATTTTAAACATTTAAAATGTTGTAGTGTGTTGGCTTTTTTTACTTTTGTAGCGTTTTTAGTCAGCTCCCGACGCGATGTTATTCATTGTACGCGCAAATTCAAAGCGTTAGTTCTGGGCACGTTAATGACGCTCGCGCTCTTTTAAACTCGTAATAAAGCGGTGAATGATTTTTCCAGAAATGACGCTGATCTACAGTACAAGTTTATATTTAGAATACATTGCAATCACTCCAAAATAGATGACGACAACTCACACACCTGCATTACGAGCTGTGCTTCTTTGCGTGCCTATTTAGGCTTTTGCTTCGCAAGCACCTGATGGATGCGTCCGTTACACACACTTTCAGAAGCCGGCACCCGCTTTGAAACGGAAACATTAAGTGGTTTAACTGCAGATGAGTGACAATTGGCGCCTCTATATGTATACAGTCATGGGCTGGCGTTAATCTGAGGTAATGTAACAGTCTATGGTTAAGATAAACATCGTCACTATTTTTAGTTAATTAATAAATATTGAAATAAATTGTAGATAGGACATTTGTACATTTTTTTATTTTTTTATTTTTGTCCCTCTGTCTGGGCCCCATCCCGCCAATCGGGCCCTAGGCACGTGCCTAGTTTGCCTTTGCGTTAATCCGGCTCTGGGTGGGGCCTATGGTGCAATTTCTTGCTATGGAGGCAGTAATATGCAGATGTATTTGCCGGTATCTGTATGACATCACAAATCCTGCAAAAACCAAACAAGCCGTTTTTGGATTTTACAATTAAAAGTAATTGGCTATGTATATTTTCTGTTGATCTTTAAACTGACACAATATTGAAAATACATCTCCGTATCCACCTTTTACCCTCTAACTTCCTTTAAATTTGCATGTTTTTACTCAAACTCGTTTTACACAGTTTATGCTGTTCTACATTTCTATAGGATATTTTAGAGATTAAATCTGTTGAGGCTCATCTTGTGCAACTTGAATTGTCTTGTGCTGCTCCTAGCACAGTTAGCTATGACACCAAACTTATTAATTTTTTTTTTAAAAACACTAATTGTTTAATGATTTGTTCTTCAATATGTAAATCTATAATGAAGTGATGATTATACCCTAATAGTACACAAGCAACAGTACACTTCTGGAGCTTTAGTGTCACGTCTAAAGCAAATAGAACTCATTATAATCATTGATGCTGTCTACACTGGATACAGTATACAGATGCATGTTCAGTTTCTGACGTACTCCACAGTCTGTCGACAAGGATTATATGTTTGTTCGGAGCATTTGGTTTTGTTAAAGAGGCACAGTGTAATGGGAGGCCATTAGGGTATTTATACAACAGTTCTTTCTGGTTCTCGAATCTGATTGGCTTAGAGCCTTTTCCAGCCTTGCTATATTCACACAGTAACATCACTCTGACTGTTTCACCGTTTGTATCACTCCGCTTGTGTCGACTGTCATGGCGGTTGAGTAAATCCAAGTCAAGTCATCTTCATTTATATAGCGCTTTTTTTGTAAATCAAAAAACAAACAAAAATAACGACTTTATTTCAACTATTCATGTCCATCTCCTTGGGCCTCGAGTCAGTTCACTAGTGTAATAGCGTAAGCTTCTGTTGTTGTACGTCACACGCATCAAGCACATGACCAGCGTCGGCCAATAGTGAGCCTACGTGTGACGTAGCTCTACGGAATCACACTACGTTAACTGACTAGAGGCCCAAAGAGAAGGACATGAAGAGTTGAAATAAAGTCGTTATTTTTGTTTGTTTTTGCGCACAAAAAGTATTCTCGTCGTTTGATAAACTTAAGATTGAGCCACTGTAGTCACTTGGACTATTAACGATGTCTTTAATAACTTTTCGAGGCCGGCAAGTTCAATCCCTGAAGAAGCCTATGGACTAGTATGGAGGAGTGATCCAGCTGTCAGATTTCATCAAAAATATCTTAATTCGTGTTCCGAAGATGAACGAAGGTCTTACGGGGTTGGAACAACATGAGGGTGAGTAAATACTGACAGAATTTTCATTTTTGGGTGAACTAACCCTTTAATATTGCTCTTAAACTCTCAAATATGCACAACGTTATATCAAAAACACACAAAGTTCACATAAACAGCCATTATGTCTGTGAACATAAACAGCAAGTAAATAAATTGCATGTGTATATTAGATCTGTGTATTAAAGTGGAAGCAGTGTAATATACAGTACCTACTGCTATATACTGTATGTGTTAATATGAATTAAACAACAAAAGAAAAAAAAAACAGAAAATCACCCACTGCTTTTGACTGAATAACTTTAGCTTTAATTACAATACATTTCTTACTTGAATTCTGCTGTTAAATGCTCTGGCGAAGTGATAAACATGGCGGACTGTGTACAGCTCACTGAGGGCGAGGTATATGCTAATAGGGCAGAGTCCGTCAGCAGACGTCGTGGGCGGGGCCTGTGCAACGTGACGTCACATTGTATAGAAACTGTAAATAGCTAATTCTGAGACACTGCTTATGATTTATGTAGATTTAAAAAAAGGAGTATGGGGTGGTTGTATACACACACTGCCGACACAAATTTATGTTGAAACACCACGTAAAATCGAATTTTGCATAACAGGTCCCCTTTAAGGAATGGACTCCAAGCAATTCAACCTGACAGTGATCTGACTACTTCAAGGATGCAAATGAAAAAGCACTGCATTTACATGCCATCCTCGCCTCTCTCCTCACGTTCAGCACCCAGATATTGACAGGAAGGCAGAAGCCAAGCGCGTGGTGATTGTTCACGGCACGCACACTTTGTTTGCTTTGAAATGTAGGATCAAACAGGGCCATGCCGCACAAGGTTAGCCTGTTAGAGGACAAATATACTGTATCTGTCTCTCTTCCCGTTCTCTCACACACACTTGCCTCACGTTTCCGCGCACGCTTTCCAACGTGCTGCTTTGACGCCCAGATGTCTCTCCTGTGCCCGGCTCACAGAGTAACACGCTGCATACTAATAAACTTCAGCCTGAACGGGATGAACGAGACATACAAATGTCGTTTCATCTGTCACACGCTGATTCTCCTTTACGCAACATGTTGTGACATTCTTTTCCTCCCGTCTTAGCGCATTTAAAGGGCATTACGCATCGCCAAAACGATGTCATATAGCGCCACCGCGTCTTTAAACGTCCACACTTCGTCGTTTATTATTTGTGTTGGTCCTTGTAATGAACGGATTGCTTTTGACGGGAACGTTTGACGGGTTGCTGAAGATGAATGGACCATGAATGTGGACAAGAGGAATGACAAGGTGTCCGGCTTTAAAATCTAAACATGTACGTGAAAATGTGTATTTATTATGAGTGATCTCTCATATTGACACGTCCGGTGAGTGCGAGGTTAGTTTGTGTGCGTGTGAGTGCGGGCGCGCGCGCGCGCGTGTATCCATCGCCTGTAGTCTATAGATCTGTGTTACTGCGCCAGGATGGAGATGACGCAAATGACCCAGCTCCCCAAAAAGTGTTTCAAGACGAACATGGCGGCAACTTAACACAGGACCCAAGATGATGATGATGGTGATGATGAACAGCAGAGAATATCGAAGGCAATCCTCCCAGATAGGGAAAGAGCAGCTCGTTCAGCGTCTTTCCTTCCCTTGAGGAGATACGGGGACACAGGCAGGAGCTTCGGGAACAGAGGAGGCATGTTGTCACACAGAAAGCGCTTTTTCTCCGGGGAGCCATGCGGAATAACGGAGATATGACCGCGCGCGGCTTTATCTAGCCCAGAGAGTCGGATACAGCTGCCACGAGCGCTGTTTAACGGGAGGAAAACATTACAAATCAATGCATTTTGTGGCAGAGGAGCCGTCGCGGTGGAGTCGGCCAGTGCTGCTCTTTCCTGAAATATGACCAGGGGTTCTTGGACGTGTCGGCAGCAAGATGACGGCTTAAAAATCTGCTTCGCACCCCGAGAGGACGAAAAGCCATTATTCACCGATTCGGAAAGGGCCCAGAGATGGCGACTGTCCTTAGCCTCTCTTTTGTTTATCACCGTTTTGCTCTCTGATCATCTGTGGTTCTGCGCCGAGGCGAAAACGACGAGGACGCGAGACAAACGGCTGGAGCACACGAACCATATACTTTCATCCAGCCATCAGAGAGAGCAGAGTCTTATTTTTATAGGCAATTCTACCAAACCTCTGTGGAGACTTGAAACTTGTCACCCTGACAGCCTCTCCAAAAACTGCTTGACTTTCGCCGAGCCGGAAGCCGTGTGCTCGGGCCTCTCCGAGTGGAACCTGAGCGATTTCTATCTTTCTTTTTGTAACTCCTACTCGCTTTTGGATTTGTTTTACGGGTTTACGAGTCCGGACAATTTGACCTGTAGCCTGGACATGGCTGATGCGTCGGGATGCAGCCAGTGCGTTCAGGCTTACCAACGCTACGACCGACGAGCTCAGGAGAAATACCAAGAGTTTGAGCTTTTGGTTCAGAAATATGAAACGGATGTATATTCGGTGCGGACATGCATGGAAGAGTGCACGGTAGGCGTACGCTGCCTTTCCTTTTGGTGTTGGTTTGTTTACTGCTTGTAACAGAAGCTCTGTACCGCTACTGTTGTTATCACATTTATTTCACGTTAAGTATGAAGAAGAAAAAAACACTACATGTGTACAGTCCTGTTTTGTCATCTGCGCGCGAGAACGCGCGCGGATACACGGTGTGCGCGCACTTGTGGATTAACGGGAGGTGGATTTTTGTTGGCACCTTGAATGCACGAGTTTGGGTTAGATGGAAAGGAGATTATGGAAGCGTCCAACAATATGTTTTTACTGTGTGGTGTATGCAGGTGATTTCTCCCTCAGTTGTATCAAAAATTATGCAAATTCACTAAAGCGCATAGCCAAGATGGATGATCCATGACAGAAATAAGAAGTCCTGGGAAAGCTGCTCAAAAATGTAGCTACTAGCTAGAAGAAAATAACCAAACTAAACTGAATGCTACGCTTTAGAAAAGGAATTTCACCTACCTCATATTTTTATAAATATAAAATAAAAAAAATAGATGTAGCCTAATTTGATCAATTTTATATAATACATTTTTTTTTTAAAGTCCTAAAATTGAAATACTATATTGCCATTTATTGTGAGTGTGCTCACGTGACAGCACTTGAAACAGGCAAATGTGGGAATACCGCTGTACAGTATAAGATGGTAATGCCATAGTACTTGTCAAATAATGACATATACAATATACAGTCACTACCATATTCAAATACCTTGGAATAGCATGCAAATACCAAGGTGTTTCAAAGAGTAACATGGTAGGCTACATGTCCATAATGCAGTGGTTCATTGAGTTTTTTTGTTTTGTTATTGTTTTTTCAATATTATCATGGTAAATGTAATGTTTTAGTGAGTGTCAAGGCTACTCTGCTAACTTAATCAACAAAATAGCTTGGCTAATAAGAAATGTAGTTAAACTGGTTAGTCTTCCAGCCTTTCTTTCTTTTTTTTGTGCACTATTCAGAAAGCCATGCAAAGAGGAGACCACCTTAAACCAGCAGACATTCTTAGGGTTGTTTAAGAGGTTTTGTCCACAGGGGTTGCTCTCATAGTTGGTAATTACCTCAGTATGGAAGGACGAAGATGAGGGCATGTCCTCTCATTTGAAACAGACTGAGATTTATGGTTCTAGGTGTCCTGCAATCTGAAAAGAGGATGGAATGAAACAAAGATTGCATGTGAGAGGGAGATGGCGCAGTGCTTTATGGAATTTCAATAACGTTAATAGCGCAGCAGTGATTTTTTCTGTGTAATCCCCGGAAGGCTATTCTGTTAGTCATTGTTCGGGTGTTTTTTACTCTTCCACTTCTGGTATGGCGTTGAATAACATTGCTGTTGCACATGCATGAAATAGGACTGCTGCTCTTGATAGAGCAGCCGCCAAAGCAAAGAGGAGCATATGAAGCATGTCATTCTCAAACGATTAGCTATCTCAAGGTTTTTGAGTTCATAATTGCATGTGCTGTGGGATGAGAAAACAAGGGCAAAATGTCCTGCCAAACGTACTGCAGGACACTTTGTAAAGTACATTACACAAGGTTTCAGTGAGTGTGCAGCAGATTGTTGCATATATTTCAGTTTTTTTTTCTCTCTCTCTCTATTCTCTCTCTTTTGCAATCTCTATTTATGTGTTTTTAGTTTTGCTCAGGTTTACATGCGAGAGTGTCTTGGTCCCTTTCCGTGCTGCTGAAACAAGTACATAGTAATGAATAAGACACATAATCACACCTGGAAATGCAGAACATAAACAATTCTTATTTCACACCCATTTTCTCCCTAGTAACAATCAAAAATATTTATTTAAAGCTGTATTAGGTGCTGCAATGCTGTATAACATTGTCAAACATGCTGTTCATGGCTGAACATTACAGAATTAGTATTATTTTGATAAATACATTTTGCTGTGTTTAGAATGCTAAAATAAGTAGTTTTAATTACAGTAATTTAAAGTATTTCTCTTGAAGCAACAAGGGAGAATGTGCTACATTGTGAACACAGTCACGGCTAAAGGGTGTTTTTGTGCACATGGGATTGACTATATGGACTATACAGCACAACGTTAAGTCCTTATTGGTTTTGTATTAAAAATGAAAATAGAATTAACTCAAGTAAACGTATTAAGTGGCAGTCTTCCTTGATACAGCATAACATTGCCATTAAATAAAAGTAATCATAATAATGATGATCCACTTGTGTTTTGCATCAGAGTTGTTACTGTATTGAGGATATTTAGCTTGCCTGGAATGCTGTATTATCAAAATTGAATTATAAAATGATATCTGTGTACTAATTAATTGTGGTAACACTTTAGTTTGGGGAACAATTCTTACTATTAATTATTTGCTTATTAGTTTGCACATTACTGGCGTGTTGGCTGTTTATTAGTACTTTTAAAGCACATATTAATGCCTTATTCTGCATGACCATATTCTACATCCCATAATCCTACCCCATAACTAAACTTAACTACTACACAACTACCTTACTAACTATTAATAAGCAGTAAATTAGGAGTTTGAGTCAAAGTTGTAGTTAATAGTGAAAATAAATGTGTTTCCCAAACTAAAGTGTGGCCTTAATTTCTCGTCAAAAAGTGAATAGGATCGCTAGCGACCCGATGTATGTAATAGTAACGATATTTTTTTCTGCGTAACAATAATTGAATCTCTGATGACTCAATGAGTGCAGTTCACCTTTATTCCTCAAAGTGGCAATGTCTGATACACAATGATGAAGTGACATTTCAATCATAGTTACCGCAGGCAGAAAACAAAAGAATAGGAAGTATTATGAGCAAAACTTGAAATGGCTCAGTGATTTACTGCAGAGCAAGTTCTGAACGCCATCAAATATTAGTGTCAGTGTCACTTGATGGTGGATCTGGTGAAGAAGCTGTCAGCGATCAAAATATTGATTTTGAAGATGTTGAAAATGATACTTTTGAGAAGATGATTGAAATTTGGAATGTACTGGGAAATGAGCTTTGACGAGGATAGCGATGATGGTATAAAGCATCTGCTCAAATCAAACCCTTAGCTCCAAAAGGTAACGAAATATGATTTCGTTTATTCTTTTGCAATTTTTATTAAAATATCAGGAGAGTTTTATACTATTGTGACTGCTAGATATCTATCCGTGTTAGATCTGGGTCGCTAAAGACCGGAATATGTAATAATGATTGCCGAAACATTCATGCATTTAAGGGTTAATACATACTTAAATTAATATAATATATCAATTGACCATGTCTTAGTTTTTAGATATTCAAGATTAAATGAGTTTAAAAATAAAAACTGAAGCATTATGGAAATTACTCTTCCATCTTTTTACTCTTCCATCTCCCAGTCCAAAATCCAAGCCTATAAAGAACCTAAGGCAGAACAGCAACTATCTGGATGAAATAGATTTATAATCCTCCATCTGTCTAAATGTGTGTGCATGCATGTTTGAGAGGGAGTAAAGGAAAGTACAAGAAAACGAGGAGAGAAATTTGTGTTTTGTTACCTCTTCCCTAGTTTCAGCTTTAGGCTGCATGGGCCGCCCACATGCAGTCGGTTCACTGACCATATGATGCATAATGCGCACACAAATATTAAGCTCTAATCTGATTGGCCAGCCTTAAAGGGATACTCCACCCAAAAATGAAAATTCTGTCATCATTTACTCACCCTCAAGTTGTTGCAAACCTGTATGAGTTTCTTTCTTATGCTGAACAACACAAAGGAAGATATTTTGAAGAACGATTTTCATTTTTGGGTGGAGTATCCCTTTAAGAAACATCTAAATGTGTGATTTTTTATCAGTTAACCTGCAAAAACTCGTTTTTACAAGGTAAATAGATATTCACGAGCAGAACTAACCTGTATTCAGTATTTCGTTTTTTTCGCATAGCTGTGAAATAATTTGTATTTATTAATCTTGAATGCACATAAATTCTGATAAGACTCTATACACGTTTACCGTTATTGTTATAGTGTTTTCTGTGCAGCTATCAATTGTCTATTATTATAGTGTAATACATCTGCCCTTAAACATGAGGTATAATCAAAACAATCTGTGATTGGTTACTTTATATGTCAATCATACAATTACTTCCTGTGTAAGTGGGTGGTTCTTGGCCAGAATACGCTGCAATGTGTACCGGATCTTATGCTCTTAGTCAAACGTTTGGCTAAACAAGACTACTATTTCACAAGAACGCTTAGTGGAGACTTGTTCTTTCAAGGCTTTTTGTCGGTTATAATGATTCAGATTGACTGATGTTGATTGACAGCTGCTAGTGGATGTGAAGGGGCCCAGGTGTCCTCTGTTGAACATGAGCAGGTTTTTGTCAGAGGGTCAGTCTCAGGTCAGCTTTAGATGAGACTTGAATTTGTTAACCCTGTAAAGTCTGACATATGAAATACTAGTCAGATTTTTTTTTTAATAGAGCAGATTATTGAATCTTTAGACAATCTAAAAAAAAGTTTGAATATTTGAATATGTGTGTTTTTTTTTTTTTTTTTAGTATCATATTTGATACATCAGACTTGCCTCATATAGTATAAGATATAAGAGAATAGATATAGATAAAAGAGAATATGGAGATACACGAGGAGGGAAAAACACATCAGTTTTATTCAGAGGCCCAAACTGAGCAAACATGAAATGTGGTGTAGTTTCTGATATTTATATGGTCAAAAAGTAAGATAAAATTCAGATTTTTGTTATCAAAACACATTCGTTTTTATTGTGCGGCCTAATACTGCAATATAATACAATGATACCAAGATATGTACAAATAAACATTCCTCAAAAGATGTATCATGTTTGATGCTCACATTTCAACATGACTTTTTTTATTTATATTTATTTTTTATAAAATTATCTATGGATAATCAAATAAACCTAATTTGCTTCCATCCAGTAAACGTTCTTCTTGAATTATTACTTACAACATAAAAGTATAAAAATAAGTAAAGATTTTACAGCAAAAAGA